GCTTGAGCGCTTGTTAGTAGGTGATACGAGTTATGTTATCATAATAAGAAGCCTGCTGATAACACCTTACATGAGTGGTACATATTTACGACAAGCTTTGATTCTTGATATCGTGTTTACAATGGTCTTTGTAGTTTGCCTTTACTGATAATAACTCGGAAGAATAACACAATTAATATTAAGTAATCTTGGTGATTATTGATGTTTGTAAGAAGTATTAGGAGAATTAAATCAACGTAAAATAAAACATACAAGGTTTAAAAAGACATATAATTGCCTTTTACTCACAATACGATAGTCTTTGGGTCACCTGAATATTAGCACCTCAGTTTATTTCACCTTAAAAAATAACCTAACCTAACCTAACCAAGCCTAACCTAACCTAACCTAACCTAACCTAACATAACATAACATAACCTAACCTAGCCTAACATAACATAACCTAACCTAACCCTCAGTCCTCCCAGGTAACAATAGGGTGATTAATCTTCAGGTGATGCCAATCCTTTGATGAAATTCCTTTCGTCTCGTGTTGAAGTCTTTTAGTATGAACAGGTACATCTACTAATTAAAAAAAGGTGTACCATAATAAAAAATAGCACAGGTACACACGGCAGGTAAGGTGAGCTAAGTCAACACTCCAGGTGCTTCTTTAAACACTCGTCAGGTTAATTATTATAGACCTAGGACATTTCACACACACACACACACACACACACACACACACACACACACACACACACACACACACACACACCTGGACCACTAAAGCAGAAATTACACCTCAGGAGAAAACTTGTCACCTTTAACAAAAAAACACGACGATCTTTTACGGAAATTACAGCCCAAACAGCAGGTTACAGAAGGACAGGTTATATCAGGGCAGGTTACAGCAGGACAGGTTACATCAGGCAGCAGGACAGGTTATATCAGGGCAGGTTACAGCAGGACAGGTTACATCAGGGCAGGCTACAGCAGGACAGGTTACATCAGGGCAGGTTACAGCAGGACAGGTTACATCAGGGCAGGTTACAGCAACAAGAATTCAGAAGCTACAGTAAGGTTACACGTCACAAAGCCTTTGGCCAGAGCTTCAACACAGACTCGGAGGATTTTAACATTGTGTCAGCCTTACAAGATCGCAGCAAGGTGTCACTACTTAACACACCTGGGGAGAACACCTTGAGACGGACAGGTGTGGTGGTGAGGAGCTTGAACCTTCCTTATTAGTGTGGTGGAGTTACTTGGATGACCTTGGATGACATTGGATGACCCTGAATGACATAAAGTACCTTGGATGAAATGACCCTGAATGACAAGACATTGAATGACCCTGAATGACATAAAGTACCTTGGATGACATTGGATGACCTGGAATGATATTGGACAATACTAGATAAAATTGGATGACTCTGGATGACATTGGATGACCCTGATGATAAATAAGAAATTAGAAGAAAGGCCAAAAACGTGTATGAATCAAGTCCGACCAAATATCGAATGGGCCCCAGTCTTAATAGGCCCCAACCTAACCTAACCTAACCTAACCTAACCTAACCTAACCCAATATTTATGACTTGTTGCCCATCGTAATTATTATTATTATTATTATTATTATTATTTTACTGTTACTAATACAACTGCTACTACCACTACTCATTATTATTACACACACACACACACACACACACACACACACACACACACACACACACACACACACACACACACACGCAACATTTACATAATCAAATAATTACACTAACAGCCCCCATCATCTCGTCAACAAAGTGAGTTTTACTGTGTTATTGAACCCTAGACGAGCTGACGTCACGAACCTTCCCAACTCGTGTTTGTGTTACTGATTACAAAGTCTTATTTACGGATTATGAAGCCTTATTACTGATTACAAAGTCTTATTTACGGATTATGAAGCCTATACTGATTACAAAGTCTTATTATAATTTTAAAGTATATTATCATAAGTTATTTATAGTTCTAAGTCAATAATAATAATAAATAATAATAATAATAATAATAATAATAATAATAATAATAATAATAATAATAATAATAACTAATGCACACACACACACACACACACACACACACACACACACACACACACACACACACACACACACACACACACACTAAAACATTCTAATTCTTAATAATGAAGATGTGAACTGTATGTGTGTGTGTGTGTGTGTGTGTGTGTGTGTGTGTGTGTGTGTGTGTGTGTGCAGCTTTAATTCTCTCTCAGATATACAGATAGTATACTTGACTGTCTGCTTGATGGATGGCATAGAAGCCTACACACACAGTATACTTTTTTTTATCCTTCGCGTTGTATTATGTTTGAGGAGCAACTTGTGGTTGAGGTTACAAGCACTTTTTACAAGCACGAGGTTACCATGAAAGATACACAAGCACACACTACAAGCACTTGGCACAAGGAGGCTATAGGCACTTCAGGTAAAAGGCTACACAAGCATTCCTACAAGTATAAGACTACAATCACGAGACTACAAGCACAAGGCGACAAGAACATGACTACAAGCACTCCTTCAATGATAAAACTACAAGCACGCAACTTAACGAAGCTACACAAACACAACAAACACATTACTTAACAAGAACTACAAGCACACCATTTAACAAGCACTACAAGCACTTAACACAGCAGGAATCAACAAGCAAAAACACAACACAAGCATTACAAGCACTCCACACCCGGGTTACGACAAGTCCAGTTCTTCCCCTCAGAGAACAAGTTACTCCTGAATCTAATTTGCATAATCAGAACACGTGATTATTTTGTATGACTGTGTGCGTGCGTGTATGAATGTGTGTGTGTATTAGTGTATCATATTGTGTGTGTGAGTGTATGAGTCTGTGTACTATTGCATGATTCTGTGTATAATTGGTGTGTGATTTTGTATGTATGTATTAGGGAGGAGGAGGATGAGGGAGGAGGAGGATGAGGGTGGAGGAGGATAAGGAGGAGGAGGATAAGGGTGGGAGGAGGATGAGGGAGGAGGAGGATGAGAGGAGGAGGATGAGGAGGAGGAGGAAGGAGGAGGAGGATGAGGAGGAGGAGGATGAGGGAGGAGGAGGATGAGGAGGAGGAGGATGAGGGAGGAGGAGGATGAGGGAGGAGGAGGATGAGGGGAGGTGTGCGTGTGTAAATAATTTTTCCTTCAATACACGTGACAAGAAGTTGGGAGGAGGTGACGACCACACACACACACACACACACACACACACACACACACACACACTGCCCTCACATCATTATCAATCACCCTCTTAACTACCGTAACAGCTGTTCTCTGATATAGTCGTTATCCTCGTCGACTCCACAAGCCAGCATCACACTTCACCAGTTAGGAGTCATCTTTCTCTAACAACATAACAAGCACTCAACCCCATGTGTGAGAGAGGAGGAGAGAGAGGAAATTATATCAACACAGGTAAAAGGCAACACCTGGAGGCACACACACCTGTCCTAGAGATGGTATCAGGACGACCATACGACCCCATAGGGACCCTCCCCCATCCCCCACCCCACCCCTCCCCATTCCACTTCTACCCCTCCTACCTCATTATCCCCCCTCCATCATCTCCCCACCTCCTTCTCTCCCTCTCCCAAACACCTCCCAATAATGTCTCCTTCTCTCCCTCTTCCTTCCCACATTCTCTTCCACTATCCCTCCACACCTCCCATAATCCCATGTAAGAGTCTGTTAATGCACAGTAAAGTTCTCCAGTACCAGCTTAAGACGCATCGTTTATGTATTTCTAAGCTTCAGGCGTTACTGAGCTTAAACTCCCCCACGCAATACCATCTGTTATCTTGTCCCCTGTTTATCTCTGTTTATTCTCCTGTTAACTTATTCCCGTTAATCTGTTTATTTTTTCTGTTAGCTTCCACCTCTCTCTCTCTTCTTCTCTCTCATACACCACCACCACCACCACCATCAACACCTACCTGTTTTACCTGTAATTATCTCACCTACACCTGTAATACCCTCACTACCAAGCTATTGACTCCAAACTTCCTCCTTCAAGTCCCACAGAATGAACCTCTCAAGACCTTAATGTGATTTGGTCGTTAATGGGTCAAAAAAGGTCATCCAATGTCATTCAGTGTTGTCCAATGTCATTCCAGGTCATCCAATGTCATCCAGTGTTGTCCAATATCATTCCAGGTCATCCAATGTCATCCAGTGTTGTCCAATATCATTCCGGGTCATCTAGTATCATCCAAGGTCACCCTATTCAAGGTCAAAAGGTAAAAGGTTAGAGGTCATTTAGTATAGTTTTAAAGGTGATTTGATGGTTAGATTAAATTTAGGTTTGTGTTGATTGGGGGGTTGACTTATGTATACCATTGTTTGTATACCTGTACTGTCTAGGTATAATAAAAGAGAGAGAAAAAAGAGAGAGAGAGAGAGAGAGAGAGAGAGAGAGAGAGAGAGAGAGAGAGAGAGAGACTCATCATCAAGTTAGTAGCACTAATTTCCCCGAGGTGTGACCCAGCCCCTATGCAGTTGTGTGGAGTTGTGGCGGCGAGGGCGTGGAGGGCGGGAAGGGGGCGAGGGCATGGAGGGTGGAAGGGGCGTGGAGGGTATGGAGGGCATGGAAGGGGCGGAGGGCGTGGAAGGCATGGTAGGGGGGTGGAGGGCGTGGAAGGCAAGTGGGAGGGCATGGAGGGTGCAAGGGGCGTGGAAGGGGAAGGGGCGTAGGGGTGGAGGGTGGGAAGGGGGCGTAGAGGGCATGGAGGGCGGGAAGGGGGGTGGAGGGCGGAAGGGAAGGCATGGAAGGGGCGTGGAGGGCATGGAGGGCGTGAAGGGGTGGAGGGCGTGGAAGGGGGGGAGGGCGTGGAAGGGGGCGTGGAGGGCGTGGAAGGGGCGTGGAGGGCGGGAAGGGGCGTGGAGGGCGGAGGGCTTGGAGGGTATGGAGGGCATGGAAGAGGGCGTGGAGGGCGGGAAGGCATGGAAGGGGCGGAGGGCATGGAAGAGGGCGTGGAGAGCGTGGAAGGCATGGAAGGGGGCGTGGAGGGCGTGGAAGGGGTAGCGGTGGGTGTAGAGAAGGCGAGGGTTGAGGAAGTAATGGGAGAGAGAGAGAGAGAGAGAGAGAGAGAGAGAGAGAGAGAGAGAGAGAGAGAGAGAGAGAGCACAGGTAGTCGAAACAATCACACAAAAATATAATTACTCAGGAAATCTAACGCAACAATGCTCAGGTAAACATCACAGGTAGCCAGGTAAATAAGCACAGGTATCTAGGTAAATAAGCACAGGTAGCCGGGTAATCAACACACTCCCTTGGGCGCACAGGTAGTGGGGACATACATCATACTCAGGTGTCTTATAAAAGGTGTTGTGTACTAATTACCAACACCGTGTAATTAAGATACATTAATTAGTGTTTTTTTCCAAGGTGAGGATTACCTGCGGGTTACTTCACACTTAATGCTCGTGGGAAAAAAATGTAGATTACTTCTGACATTTATTAAGAGTAATGATTGTTATTAGTCTTTTTGTAATGATAAATGATTTTAATTACGAAAAAGCTTTATAAATTGGGCTTATATTATACATTGAATGGTTTTATTACTACTACTACTACTACTACTGCTACTATTACTACTACTACTACTACTACCACATGAACCAAACACCCTTCACTAGATGTTAACAATTCACAACATAATATTTACCATACATTATATAGCTGTGAACATCAACACCTGAGAAAATGAACTCAAACATTTGTAAACATTTTTGTAACAAATAAACTTCCCACACTGACAATGTTCATTAATAAACATTTTTTTTACAACACACGAATAATATAAATGTTCTATCAATGCTTTTCTGTAAACATTTCTCACTAAAATTCTTATAACTAAACATTTCTTATAAAAAAATTAACTTATAAACACTTCAACACTAAAAATGACCACATGTAAACAATTCGACTCTAAAAATGCCCAACTGTAAACACAAACAAGAAAAAAGATCAACTGTAAACAAGACCCCCTGAAAAATCCCAATTGTAAACACCAAAACAATAAAAATTATCCAAGTGTAAACAAAACATCAACAACTGTAAACACAATAATAATACAAATACACCCAACTGTAAACACTGCCCAAGTAAACAATAGCCAGTAGACAAAACATTTATCCACGTGACAACATTTCAACAAAGACAAACTCTCCTCATCTTCTCCACACACACACACACACACACACACACACACACACACACACACACACCAGCTGTCGGGTAGTTTTTTGTCACTCTTGTCTGCCAGAACATAAGAACTGGGTCATAGAACCACTCCTACTAGCAGAACCACTCCTACTAGCAGAACCACTCAACTAGCAGCACCTACTCAAACCACTCCTACTAGCAGAACCACTCCTACTACAGAACCATACTAGCAGAACCACTCCTACTAGCAGAACCACTCCTACTAGCAGAACCACTCCTACTAGCAGAACCACTCCTACTAGCAGAACCACTCCTACTAGCAGAACACTCCTACTAGCAGAACCACTCCTACTGCAGAACCACTCCTACTAGCAGAACCACTCCCTACTAGCAGAACCACCTCCTACCCAGAACCACTCCTACTAGCAGAACCACTCCTACTAGCAGAACCACTCAAACCATTAGCAGAACCACTCCTACTAGCAGAACCACTCTACTAACACCACTCCTAATAGCACCACCCCTGCTACTAGTACCACTCCTACTAGCAGCACCGCAATCAGTAACAAATTGAGTGGAAGCATAACTACTAGCACCACTACCACCACTACCACCACCAGCACCACAACACATCATCATTATCACCATCACCACTACAACCACCACCACCACCACCATAGCACCACTACCACCACCACCACTACCACCACCACATACACCCCATGCACCATAGCACCACTATACATGGTCGGTGTGGCAGAAATGTGTGCTTCAAGATTGAATTAGTTTCAGTAGGTGGGCGGCCTCATTACTGAAGATTACCTGTGCACCCGGCTGCCGCCACCATCCCCACCAGTCTCCTCACTCACCCCCAGCTGGAGAGAGAAAGGAAAAGGAAAATAAGTTGGTGAGCAGAAAACACACACACACACACACACACACACACACACACACACACACACACACACACACACACACACACACACACACACACACACACACACACACACACACACACACACAGTTTGATCACCATAAAAGCACATGACGTCTACATGACCACTCGGGTCCTGACAATGTATACATACGGTCCCTCATGACTGTTAATGACCATTCACAGTCATGCATAGTGGGGGGAGGGGTCAGGACAGTGGTAGCCTGACTGACTTGTGTGGACCTAACCTGACCTGACCTGACCTAACCTGACCTGACCAAACAGATATTATAAAGCTAGCAGGATGAGTTTTCCTATGTGTGACAACTCTCACTCTCTCACCACCGTACCGTCACAGGAATATAGTTGAGACAGAGTAAATATTATCAAGGCAAGATTTTATTTCCCAGGAGTAGTTATATATTTATTGGCCCAGGATGAACGACGCCAAGCTTGTATCATGTGAATAACCCTCATACATACATACATAAATACATACAAACTACTTACCTACATACCTACATACATACATGCATACATACATACGCCTAGAGAAAACACAGGTCTCTCTCTCTCTCTCTCGGCTCTACTCCCTGACCCCACCTGGACATGATTCATCCTTCACCTTGACCTCACACTCGAGTTACTGCCCTCAAGGTCAACCTCCAGGGATCAAACCTCACTTTAGACTCTCAAACGAATTGGACTGACCTAAACTACGAGTATTTATCGCTATTGCAGTTTTATATATCGTTATTATCGCTATACAGTATATCGTTATTATCGCTATATATCGTTATTATCGCTATTTATCGCTATTGTCGTCCTACATATCACTATTATCACTATATATCGCTAATATAACCCTCACTATTTATCGCTCTATATCGCCGTGTTATTTGTTATAAATCCGCGGTCAAATAGAATACCCAGACAGTATATATTATGCAACAAATATTAACATTACATTAACATAACTGCCTGGAATATTTTTAACTGCCTGGCATATTTTTAGCATATAACCTAACCTAACCTACACACCAGCCACCCCACACACCAGTCACCCCACACACCAGCCACCCACACACCAGCCACACCCCACACACCTGCCACCCCCACACACCAGTCCCCCCACACACCAGTCCCCCCACACACCAGTCACCCCACACACCAGTCACCCCCACACACCAGTCACCCCCACACACCAGCCACCCCACACCAGCCACCCCACACACCAGCCACCCCCACACACCAGTCACCCCACACACCAGTCACCCCCACACACCAGTCACCCCACACACCTGCCACCCCCCACACACCAGTCACCCCCACACACCAGTCACCCCCACACACCAGTCACCCCACACACCAGTCACCCCACACACCTGCCACCCACAACCCTTTACCAAACCCAAATACACTGACTGTGTCTCGAGTCGGTAGTCACAACTTAAAATTTAATTATTCTTTACTAGTTTTATTATTATCTATTATACAACATCTATTTATCATCTATTCATTATATTAATTCTGCCTCGCCTACACCTGCGTCTTACCTGGCTAATTAATTAATCAGCCTCAGAACCTAGTCGGGTCACCTGTCCTGGGGGTTAATTTTTGACGACCTTCGTTATAATCAATACTAAATTGTTCACCTGAAGAGTAGGCTAACCTAACCTAACCTAACCTAACCACCATTAACACATGAACAGGTAATTATAGCTCATACAATTAACTGGTCAGGAAAGAATTATTTATTTAATGTAATGTGTAAAATTTGCTAAGCCCAGCGGCACCAGAGAGAGAGAGACCAACATTACCTCCTAAATATGTAATCAACGTGTCCAATTATCTTACCTGCCGACAGCTTTACTGCTCCACGTTAGTTAAACATATTTCTATTTTAATTATACAACAATGAAGCTCACATATTTGTATACTGTTTGTGAATGTTTGGAATACTTGGTGATTTGTGTGTGTGTGTGTGTGTGTGTGTGTGTGTGTATTGATATTTGATCTACACACACACACACACACACACTAATTCATTTGCATGTTTTATACCAACTCAGTGTCTTTATTTTGTATGTATGTATGTATGTATGTATGTATGTATGTATGTATGTATGTATGTATGTATGTATAGCCAGGATATACACACATGCAACACCTGGATAAATAAGAGCCGTACCATCTCAGCATAGTTCTTGGCTGGGACTGTGAGAGGTACCTGTCTCTACCTGTACCTGTATCTCTACCTCTACCTGTATCTTTAGCTGTACCTGTATCTCTACCTGTACCTGTATCTCTACCTGTACCTGTATCTCTACCTGTATCTCTACCTGTACCTGTATCTCTACCTGTACCTGTATCTCTACCTGTATCTGCACGTAGCTTTACAGAACATAAATGCAATATTATGTAGCAATAACAGACACACATACTAATTAGTGCTGTTTGTGTAACGTCAACAATACGAAATTTATGTACCTGTAATTACTGTAGGCTGTAGTCTCCATTATAACTTGCCATTGTTACCGAATAATAATAGTAATAATAATAATAGCAATAACAATAATAATAATGATAATAATAATAATAATAATAATAATAATAATAATAATAATAATAATAATAAAAATAGCAATACCTGTACATTCTAATCTTATCAACTTTACACCACCACAAACAACAAACCGAATTCAATAACATAACACGTAACACATTAATAACAGCACACCTTTACCGATAACAGAACACAGGTAAAAATAATACCACTAAATTAATGTACTTCTGTTTATCACCACAGTTCAATAATTCACAAATATTTATCAATCGTTCTTGGACATTTTCTTATTTTTTTTTTTAGAACTTCAATAAATATAAAACAAATGACCTTTTTTTTTTTTAATGTTTAGCTTAAAATATTATCGTTTTTTTTTCTTCATGACCCGTATATATACTGTGACCTTTTCTTCTTAGATTTTTATAGCGAAATGTTGCACAAAAATGGCGTTTTCTTGATGTGTATATAGTGTATGGAATATAGGTCGTTTGGTGGCACTAGAGGGGAAGGAGGAGATGGGAGATGGGGGAAAGGGTGGAGAGGAAGAAAGGGAGGAAAGAAGGTGGAAGGGAGGAAGAGGGAGTAAAAGTGTGGGTCATTACTGCACAGGTAGGAGTATTGACAGGTAAGTGACACTGTTTGTATACACTGAGAGAACCTTTGGAGGGAATGCTGGGATAATATTTACTTATACCCGTCGCTGTGTTGAGACCCCGTGTCGACCACACCATCTACCACGGACCACCACCATCGACCACATCATCGACTACCCACCACTGGACCACACCATCGACTACAATCCAAAGAGACACCCCTCCACCACTACCATCACGGACGACCCCACCACTACCATAACGGACCCCCTCCACCACTACCACCACGGACGACCCCTCACCACCACCATCACGGACGACCCTCCACCACCACCACGGACGACCCCTCCACCACCCACCACCACGAACGACCCCTCCCACGGACGACCCCTCCACCACTACCATCACGGACGACCCCTCCACCACCACCACGGACGACCCCTCCACCACTACCATCACGGACGGCCCCCCTCCACCACCACCACGGACGACCCTCCACCACCACCACGGACGACCCCTCCACCACCACCACCACGGACGCCCCTCCACCACCATCACGGACGGCCCCCTCCCACCACCACGGACGACCCCTCCACCACTACCACCACGGACGACCCCTCCACCACCACCACGGACACCCCCTCCACCACTACCACCACGGACGCCCCCCTCCACCACCAGAATACAGGTAAGCATGGCCATCAACACAGGTGTAAGGTCTTAACTTCTCTCCTCTCTGTACACACACACACACACACACACACACACACACACACACACACACACATACATACACCTATAAGTATACCTTGGCGTTAATACAACCTCAACACACAGGTAACTCAATGCTTACCTGTGATCCCAATAAACCTGACTCTAACACCTCTGACACTTTACAATCACTCACATTAAACGGATCCAAGACGAACTTATTTTTTTACAAACATTTAATCTACCTATGTGTAAATCTTCCTCATTCACAATGATTAAACACAATGTTCTGGCAGTGTAATGTAATTAACGTATCACCTGACTCGTACACCTGTCGGCACAAGAGACAGACTGACGTGTCATTATCAATCGAACTTTGAGGGAATATCTTTCCAGACTAGCGTTAATTAGTATCAGATGACAGCAATGACGAATCCTAGCAGTGTCTACAGGTGTGAACTGGTTCTTGACATTTGCATACACGAGAGAGAGAGAGAGAGAGAGATGACATCCCCATTAATTTGCTTTCCTATCGACCTAACCTAACCTAACCTAACCTAACCTAACCTAACCTAACCTAACCTAACCTAACCTAACCCAACAATATTAAAGTTCAAGGTATATTTTTGGTATCTAATTTGCATACTGATGTGTGTGTGGAGCAGAAGAGCTTCACGTACAGGTAAATGGACATAATAATCTTCTTGTTTATTAATATCACATGAAATGATGTTAGCAGTAATGGCTGTGTGTATGTTTTGATTATCTTACTTAATTGTTTAGATTGTTTTGGTAATTTATTTTGTTTTCTTGCTTATTTGCTTATTAATTTTACTTATTGGATTATTTTACCTAATTGTTGACCTTGAAAAAATGTAAACAAATAAACAAGGCGGCAAACAATAAAGTGATTCTGTTTGCTGATGCACTTGACAACTGTAAACAATATGAGGAGGAAAAGACAGTCATCACAACCTTCCCAGTGGAAAGTTGAGTTGTTTATAGTTGTTTACATCAACATAAACAAGAGGTAAAAACAAGTGTGTGGGTGGTAAGAGAGTTGTTTGAGAGGTTCCTGATGGTGGTAATGTGGTCATTGTTTCACCAAACACATACACAGTCAGTCAGCTCCTGCACCACACTGTCCCCCACACACTGTCAGCCCTGTCCCACACTGTCCTGCACCACACTGTCAGCCTGTCACACTGTCAGCCTCTGCACCATTATCAGCCCCTACACCACACTGTCAGCCCCTGCACCACACTGTCAGCCCTGCACCACACTGTCAGCCCTGCACCACACTGTCAGCCCTGCACCGCACTGTCAGCCCTGCACCACTGTCGCCCTGCACCACACTGTCAGCCCCTGCACCACACTGTCAGCCCCTGCACCACACTGTCAGCCCCTGCACCGCACTGTCAGCCCTGCATCACACTGTCAGCCCTGCCACCATCAGCCCCTGTCCCACACTGTCAGCCCTGCACCACACTGTCAGCCCCTGCCCCACACTGTCAGCCCCTGCCCCACTGTCAGCCCTGCACCACACTGTCAGCCCCTGCACCACACTGTCAGCCCCTGCACCACACTGTCAGACCCTGTCCCACACTGTCAGCCCCTGCCACACTGTCAGCTCCTGCACCACACTGTAGCTCCTGCACCACACTGTCAGCCCCTGCCACTGTCAGCTCTGCCACACTGTCAGCCCCTGCACCACACTGTCAACCCTTGCCACCTGTCAGCCCCTGTCCCACACTGTCAGCCCCTGCACCACACTGTCAGCCCTGCACCACTGTCAGCCCTGCATACCGTGTGGGTCAGGATGAAAAAACACCGCTTAGCACGTCTCACACACACACACACACACACACACACACACACACACACACACACACACACACACACACACACAGAGGACGCGCACATAAAACCATTTAGTTCCGGAACAAACAGATGGTGAGTATATTTGCAGAAATGTCTCAATGTTTACAGTGGGAACGCGGCGGGAACTCACCGCCAGCCGCCACCATCAGCACAGCCGCCACTACCACAGCCGCTACCACCACCACTACCACCACAGCCGCTACCACCACTACCACAGCCACCACCACCACCACAGCCGCTACCACCACCACCACAGCCGCTACCACCACCACCACAGCCGCTACCACCACCACTACCACCACCACCACAGCCGCTACCACCACTACCACAGCCGCTACCACCACCACCACAGCCGCTACCACTACCACCACAGCCACCACCACCATCACCACAGCCGCTACCACCACCACAGCCGCTACCACCATCACAGCCACTACCACCACTACCACAGCCGCTACCACCACCACCACAGCCACTACCACCACCACCACAGCCGCTACCACCACCACCCACAGCCGCTACCACAACCACTACCACCACACCACAGCTGTTTCACCACCACTACCACCACCACCATCGCCACTACCACCATCACCATCACCACATCACCATCACCAACAACAGCCACCACCACCACTACCACCACCACCATACCACCACCACCACCACAGCCGCTACCACCACCCACAGCCGCTACCACCACTACAATACCACCACTACCACAGGCCACCACCACTACAACACTACCACCACCACCACGACTACCACCACCACAAGCCGCTACCACCACCACTACCACCACCACCACAGCCTCTACCACCACCAACACGCTACCACCACCACCACACGCTACCACCACCATCCAGCATACCACTACCACAATACGCTACCACCACCACCACCACAGCCACTACCCACCACCACAGGGTACCACCACCACCACCATGCTACCACAACCACTACCACCACCAAAAGTACCACCACCACCACAGCCGCTACCACCACCATCACAGCCACTACCACCACTACCACAGCCGCTACCACCACACCACAGCCTACCACCACCACCACAGCCTACCACCACCACCACCAGCCGCTACCACAACCACTACCACCACCACCACAGCCGTTACCACCACACTACCACCACCACCATAGCCACTACCACAACTACCATCACCACATCACCACCACCAACAACAGCTGCCACCACCATCACCATAACCACCACTACCATCACCACTATCACCACAACCACCACCTGCCACCCAGAAATACTTATGTTTTCTAAGAATATTATCTCCAGCACCCCTAGTAGAAGAGAGGTGGTCATGACACACACACACACACACACCAATCACCCTTCTCCCCTCACCCCATCCCATTACCTCCCCTCCTGTTATGGTCCACCCCCCATCCCTCCCTCTCCCTAACACCAATAAACGTTCCACACACACGGTTCATCCCTGCCCTCCACCAGCCCCTCCACCATCAGCCTCTCCACCAGCCTCTCCACCAGTCCTCCTCCATCAGCCTCTCCACCAATCCCCCTCCACCGCCTCCACCAGTCCTCCTCCATCAGCCCCTCTCCACCAATCCCCTCCAGCCCCCTCTCCACCAGTCTTCCTCCACAGCCCCTCTCCACCAATCCCCTCCACCAGCCCCCTCTCCACCAATCCTCCTCCATAGCCCCCTCTCCACCAATCCCCTCCATCAGCCCCTCTCCACCAATCCCACCATCAGCCTCCACCAGCCCCTCTCCACCAGCCCCATCTCCACCAGCCCCATCTCCACCAGCCCCATCTCCACCAGCCCCATCTCCACCCAGTCCTCCTCAATCAGCCCCCTCCACTTGCGGGGCCTGGAGTCCTTCCTGGGGGGGGGTTGAGGAGGAGAGGCCGTAACAGAGGCATCACTTAGCCCCATCAAGAGTGGGGGGCCTGAGGAAGAGAGTTAAGCCACAAGAGGGGGAGGAGGAGGTTGAGGAGAGGAGGGAGGTTGAGGAGGGAGGGATGTGGGGAGGAGGGATGTGGGAGGGAGGATGTGGGGGGAGGGAGGGATGTGGGGAGAGGAGGATGGGGGGAGGGAGGGATGTGGGGAGGAGGATGGGGGGAGGAGGATGTCGGGGAGGGAGGGATGTCGGGGAGGAGGATGTGGGGAGGGAGGAGTATTTTAAGCCAGGGTGGTAAGAGGTGGGAAGGACGACTAAAACAAACAGACACACAAACAGACAGACACACAGAGACACACAAACAAACAGACACACAAACACACGTCGACAGAAGACAAGAAACGGTCATAACCACATTACTAAAATCATAAAAAACACAATAAAATTTCATGAAAGGTAAACGCCAAATTTAACGCCAAATTTAACACAAATTTATTCACCTTTTTTCACAATAAAACAAATTCATATTAAAATTATGAGTTAATTTTCTTTTCATTTTAAACACATCATTAACGCTAAATATTCTGTAGTTAACAAATTTATTCATATATTTTTATATATAATTTTGTGATTTAAATAACACATAACGAGGGTCGATTAAACGAGGTCGATTAGCACCTCTATGACGGTACAGTATAAACGCCATAGTAGATTAGCGCCATTAATGTTCTGACGTCATTATGGCTACCCCTTCCCTTCCTCCCTCCCCTTCCTTCCTCCCTCACCCCCTTCCTTCCTCCTCACCCCTTCCCATCCCTTCCTATACCCTACCTCTTCCTCCACCTAACACACCCACTCCCTCCCCTTCCTTCCTCCCTCACCCCTTCCCCATCCCCTCCCTCCCCCCTTCCCATCCCCTCTCTCCCCATCCCCTCTCTCCCCCCCCCCTCACCCCTCCCTAAAGTCATTTGAATATTCATAACCTCTCTGTTCACTAACTCACAACCCATTTTCTGAGATTAAGAAAACTGTTGGGGGTAAACTAATCTATCTTGAATGTGTGTGTGTGTGTGTGTGTGTGTGTGTGTGTGTGTGTGTAAAAATGTCACCTACTACAAGGCTACATTTTTTTAGTTATATGCAAATAAATTTTCAGAGGTTGACCTTCCTACCTGGCACTCCTCCTGGCCTTCCTCCTACCTGCCCTCCTACCTCCCTACCTGGCCACTCACCTCCTGCAGCCCTCCTCCCTCCTCCTACCTGGCCTTCCTCCTACCTGTGCCTACCTTCCTCCTACCTGGCACTCTCCTCCTAGCACTCCTTCCTGGTAACTGTCTGTGACACTCCACCATGACACCACCAAACCTCCACCATGGCACCACCAACACTCTCCACCATGACACCCTCAGGCAGGAACCTAACCAATAAACAATTTTTGGTCCAACACAATATTTTCTCTCTACTCTCACAGTGATTCTTTTAAGGGGTCGGAATTTGCTGCCCGGGGTAAAGTTATCGGCCCAGTGTTGTATAATTTGCTGCCCGGGGTAAAGTTATCGGCCCAGTGTTGTATAAATAAAAAAAAAATGAATTAAACCCCAATATTTTATTAGTCTGACACAGGTAATGAAATTTAGTTCTCAGGGTAATTGGCACAGAGGCGGCGAACTAAACGGTTTAAAATTGGATCAAGCTTAAATAATCAGTTTTTGGTGTTATTGATGTGACACATGTATGGCCTCCGTGTGTGTGTGTGTGTGTGTGTGTGTGTGTGTGTGTGTGTGTGTGTGTGTGTGTGTATTTCACCCCTCCCCCCTTAGGTCGTCCCTCCAAGGCGGAAGTTTACACAGGAGGTCCTCAGCTGACAAAATGTTTTACTGGGTACTTAACTTATCCTCCCCCCATCTTCTCCCCACTCCCTGTAGCTCACTCTCCCTTAGCCTCTTGTATGTCTCCCCATCCCTGGACTCAACCCAACGTTACACTAACCAAACCCAACGTTACACTAACCAAACCCAACGTTACACTAACCAAACCCAACATGTCGCATTTTGTTCGTGTTTCAGTTTGCTTGTACCCTTGTGATTGACAGATGTTGACAGGTGCTGACAGGTGTTGAGGCGTTGACAGGTGTTACAGTATTGACAGGTGTTACAGTATTGACAGGTGTTACAGTATTGACAGGTGTTACAGTATTGACAGGTGTTACAGTATTGACAGGTGTTACAGTATTGACAGGTGTTACAGTATTGACAGGTGTTACAGTATTGACAGGTGTTACAGTATTGACAGGTGTTACAGATGTTGGCAGGTGTTGACACGTTTTAACAGATGTTGCTCACTGACACAAAACCCACACTCAACAAAAACACCAATTGTTAACATTAATGGATAAAACAATCAAACAGCGGCTCCATTGTTATACTGTATTACATTACAAGGTTATTACAGCATCATACCTGGTAATAATATGTTAAAAACGAATATTAAAAGAGTATCACATTACCACATCAAACAACACAAAATTAAAACAACATATAATTCATAGTAAGTTATTAAACCACATTAAACCACCACATAACATTACAGCCACATTACAGAGTCATCATTACAGTGCATCATGTTAGTGTCACATTACAAGCATTACACGCATTCCATTACAATACATTACATTTATCGTATGCTTGTGTGTGTGGTCGTGTCCGTCTGAGTGTAGTGGAAGGTGAATCTAAAAATAGGTAGGGGGTTCTGGTACCAGTGTTAAAGTCAGCCACATAATGGTATTACACTCACGCCTCCCTGCCTGTGTGTGGGAGAGAGAGAGAGAGAGAGAGAGAGAGAGAGAGAGAGAGAGAGAGTTATCACCTGAAGGACTTA